GGACTATACGGGCATGAAATGTTCTGCCACATGTCGGGCAGACATGTGCGGGCACCATTGTTGCAGCATTTGCAGCTCTGGCTTTGCAGAGTGCTGGCGTCTCTTGTGCTGTGGTTGTTCTTCTGTCCTCAGATGTCTGGCAGCCTTGGTGGATCAGCGTGCGCCATGTCAATCGATCTTGTGCCAGGGTTTCCCAGGAGGTGGTGTCGATATACAAGGACTTGAAGGAGGCTTTCAAGACTCTTATTTGGGATCTATCTCTCTCTCTTCCCCTGTCTCTCCCCCCCCCCGTCTCTTTCTCTCCATCCTTCCCTCCCTCCCCCCCCTCTCTCATACACACACTTTCATCCTCTCCCTTTCTTCTGCTTCTTGCTTCCCACAATTTCCTGCCCTGCCCTAGGTAGGGAAACTGACAAGACCAAATTGTTCCTGAGCTCTACTGCTATTAAATTTGTTTTGTTTCAGTCAAATTGACCCAGCTTGCAAAACTGGTTTTTCTAGCAGCCACAGTAGGAGGTCACTTCTCTCATTACCTGTCCTGAAGGCAATGAGAGAAGAGAAGCAGGGGTGGGTTTCGACCGGTTCGCACCGGTCCCTGCAATCCGGTTGGTCGCCGAACCCGGAAGTAAGTAAGTTCCGGGAACGGCGAAGTTCCCCCCCGCGCCCGCGCGCGCCCGCACACCCGCACCCGCTCCTTACCCGGTTTTTACGAATTCTGCGCTTCCACGCATGCGCAGAACGCATACAGCGCCTGTGCGATCCTCCAGGAGCAGCTGGAGTATCGCGCAGATGCTAGTACGCATGCGTGCGCACGTGTGTGCACGCGCGCGCCGCGTGCGTGTGCGAGGACACCGCCGGCCTCATTCCAACCGAACCGGTTGGAACGGGGCCAGAAACCCACCCCTGAAGAGAAGCAACTGTTTTACAGTAATAATCTTGTTCATGCATACAGGTAAAAATTTGCTTGAGTCAAGTTTGATTCCTGGTGATTTAAGGCATGTTATTGTAGTTTTCTTGGCAATGGTATAGAAGTGATCTGCAACTGCTGAGATTTCAATTGATTGATTGAGCTCATCTTTATTTTACACACACACACACACACACACACACACAAATTCCTAATTGTTCTTTTTCTTTCTATTTCAACATTAACAACCCTGTGAGGTGAGTTGGATTGGGCTGAGAGAGAGTGACTGGTCCAAAGTCACCAGCCTAAGGCGGGACTAGAACTCACAGTCTTGCAGTTTCTAGTTTCTAGTGCCTTCAGCAGTAGATCAAACTGGCTTTGGATTTCCCAATCTAACCAACAGCACTGCTATTTCCTGGTGGTTCCCATCCAAATACTAACTGGGTGTAATCCTACTTAGCATTTCCAGATCAGCCAAGTTCAGCTAGGTGCGTATCTACCCCTGAATTTACTGGGGGTTATTTTAGTTTGTCCTAGCAGCTAAGACATCAGTCTGGAAACATGGAGACTGTAAATTCTAGTCCTGCCTTAGGCACAAAGCCAGAAGGGTGATCTTGAACCAGTCACACTCTCTCAACTCTAAGAAGAAGGCAATGGCAAACAACTTCTGAAAAACGTTGCCAATAAAACTTCAGGGACTTATCCAATGAGACATGACTGAACAGAAGAAAAAAATGTCTGTTCCATCTTTCCTATTATTACATCTGATATATTCAGTTCTGATACTATCAGGAGGAAAAGTATGTGATCACTCTTAAGTTGTTAAAGCTCAACATCAGTACATCAACTCTCTTAATCTTATGGTGACGTATAGATTTAGATTCATAAATTTATTCTCTTTAGGTTTTAGTTTATGAATCAATATTAATTCCATAAGTATTCTATGATAAATATATTTTACATTATTAAATTGGGACTATCTTTAGAAAAAAATAAGCAGAAAATAAGTAATGTTTACCCTGCTGTTTTCTCAACTGTTGGAATAATTCTTTCATTTCCTCATCCCAGCTCTTCTTATTGCTTCTAGTCTTCTGGATCTCCATTTCTACTATTTGTCCCGGTTACTCCAGGTTGGTTGCTAGTTCAGGTTCTTGGAGAATTTTTCCACACTTGATACTACTGTCCTAACAGAATGTGTTAAAGGGAGTTGGCATCATAAGGTCTGATTGCAGAGAGATAGAGAATAGAGACACCACACAGCCTATTCTCAACACTCACCAAGTAGAAATGTCTATGGGAATTTTCAATCATCCAGGTCATGGTTATCCCAAAAGTGCTTTTTCAAAAGGCAACTGGACTTTCTTTCTTTTTCCTTGAAAATATTTCACTTCTCATCCAAGAAGCTTTCTCAGTTCTAGAGCTTTTGGGACGAGAAGGGAAGCATCTTTAAAGAAAAACAAAGGAAGTCCAGTTGCCTCTTGAAAAAAGCATCTTTGGGACACCAAATGGAGAGATTTCTTCTGCTGGAAAGAGATCTGTTGGTGTTTCTAGACACTATTTTTTTTTACATTTGTGTATCATGAATCTCTCCCCACTTCTCATAAAATCTCTGTTGTCAAGTGTCATGAAAACCCTTGGCTTCCTTCACATCAACTTTACTCTTTTTGAATCTCTTACACTCATATTTTTTTCTATTCTCATCATTCATATTATAGTACTTCTAAGTCTTCTATTATCTATTGTATTATAGATTATTCTATAATCTCCACAGATTCATTCCTATCTCATCTCATTTTTTTCCTCATGCTTAAATAACAGTTCCTTTCCTGATGAAATGTATTGTTTTACTAAACAAATATATTGTTTAACAAATTTATTTCTCTCTAAGTATCTTATTTGGTTTGATTAATCTATTAATCCATTTGATTCATTTGGTAGGAGGGTTTGTTGGGGAAGAATTTGGACGCCATATTCCCTACTTCTCAGAAACTGAAATTATCTATACCAGTATCTATCTCTCTTTTGTTCTAAAATAGGGAAGACTTGAAAGGTGGATTCAAGAATCACTGATAGGTGAAGCAACAATGTAGCATGATAGAGTTAGTATCATGCACTATGGATTGGTGGGATGGGACTCTCCAACCAAAGGCGGGGATTATTTTATGGGGGTGGGGGGCAAGAAGACATTTGGGAATTTACCGTATTTTTCGGAGTATAAGACACACCTTCCCCCCCCAAAAAAGAGGATGAAAATATGGGTGTGTCTTATACGCTAAATGTAGCCCCACCCATCCGCTATCTCCACCACCTGGAACGCCTTCATTTCAGATCCTCCGCCTTCTGCATGCCTGGTTGAAGATCCACCACCCTCTTCCTTGCATATTCATACAACAGGACAGCTTTTATCATGGCAGACATTCAAGTGGATGGTGAACTGCCTCCGCTTCCGATCAGCCGGCAGTGACGGAGGTGGTGGTGGGGAAAGGCATGGGATGGGAGATTCCTCCATGGCCTAGGTGGCTCAGCTCAACCTTCTGGAGCCTGGTGGTGGCAGCTTCCCCATCCAGGTGGAGCCCAATCGGAAGCGGAGATAGTTCACCGTCTGCTCAAATGGCTGCCATGTTAAAGCTGTCCTGTTGTATGGATATGTAGGGAAGAGGGTGGTGGATCTTCAACCAGGGGTGCAGAAGGCGGAGGATCTGAAATGAAGGTGTTCCAGGTGGCGGAGACAGTAGCAACTGCCTTACATCTCTCGCACAGCGCCCCCTTCGCCAAACAAGTCCCGACCTCCCACTTCCCAGAGCCGCTTCAGGAATCAGGCTCCAACCGAGGCAGCAAAAGTGCAGGGCAGAGTGTTTATGCGATGACAGCATCCAGGAGGACTGAAGTGCTGCGTCTTTATCGGGGCTTGTTGCGAGAAAGTCAGGCTTTCAATGCCTATGGTTATAGGTAGGAAGACTGGGGCGTCTTGGGGGTGCAGGCTTCGGTGCCAAGTCCCTCTTCTTCCCCCACGAAAATCACCCACAACCCCAGCCCCTCCAGTTAAATATGCGTAGGGTGATAGGGTTTGTTTTAAATGGATAAAGAGCTCGTTATCAAACTCCGAGTGAAAGTGAGAATCTCCGCTGCCTGGAACCACCCGGAAATGCGGGGCACAGAGGCAGCAATAGTCTGTGGCAATCCCTGCAGCCTGGAACAACTGATTGGGGATATTCCACCTGCCAATCAGCTGCTGCTGCTGAATCAGACTGCAGTAACGTGCTGAAGCTGACCAGGCCATTTGCTGTTTGCTGCAAGGACACAATGGATGCTGGTAGGCAGAGGAAGAAAGTTTTTTTCTTGTTTTACTCCGCCCAAAGTAAGGTGCGTCTTATACATACTCCGGTGTGTCTTATACTCCGAAAAATGTGGTAGTTATTTAGACATGGTAAATCTCTTGCACAACTTTTAATGTTGCTTCTGGATTTTTCCTGCTTCAAAGGAAGATAAAGTTCAGCAACATAAGGAGATGCACAGTTTTTATAATTTGAACAGAGACCAGAAACCCTATATCAAGATTGGCTTGTTCTAAAAAGGAACTGAAGATCAGAAACTAGCTAAGAAAGCAAATGGTAAAAAGTAGAGCAAAGATGCATTACTCAGTTCTTGAAAAGATAAAGCATCTGAGATTGCATTCTTATTTTGTTCAGAGGGAGAGAAAATATTTAACTCTTTCAAGTCTAGATGCAATCAAGGTCTCCTTTTCTTCCTCCTCTTTCCCTCTTTCTTCTTCCCCTTCTCCTTTGTTCTCCTCATTCTCCTTCTTCTATCATTTGGATGATGTATAAGAATTTCCATATCATTTCCATATTATTTGGGAGAGTGTAAGAGTTTATATTGCAAAAAGGGTTTAATCCATTTCCCCAAAATTTTGCCATCACCCATTCAAGATTTACATGTCTATTTTGTAATGAAAAGTGGGAAAAGTGATTTTCTGTAACATATCATGGCATCAGGTTTTGTCAAATCTGCTTAATAAATGAGTTTTCTCTACAAAGGACACAGAGAGACAGAGAAACCTGCACACAAAGAAGTTTAATAGCAAATCCAGCAATAGCACCTCAAGATCAAACTGATTAAAATCAAGCAGCAGGGTGAAGATTTAAAACAACAACAACAGCAATTCAGAAAAGCCTCAGGAACCTAATTATTAAAAACTCCAGAAAATTAATTCATATTCTGATCTGGTCCTCAGATGACCACAACAATAGATGGCAAAATTGGCCAAGAAAGAATTTAGCACTATGGAATTTCTTAGCCTTGGAAACAGACATGGAAAAAATGTCCAAAAGTATAATTAAGAAGACTGTACCTGTCCTGGTGTAACAATTTTTCTTTGACTGAAGAATCCTTCTCTGTGTCCACCACTGAGATTTTACACCATTTATAGCCACTCAGTGACACTGGTGGGTGTGCCTTCTAAGTGAATGGGAAATGATCTAATAAACGGTTTTGTGTTAAGCTTTTTCTTCTTTAAGGAATGATTTAGACAACACAAAACATTTGTTTTGCAAGAATTTCCTCATCTGAAAGCATTAAAGAATGCTTAGTTGTATTTTCCCCTTATCATTTTGGAGAAGAATTGTCGTTAGAAGCATTTCACGTGTGCATGCATTTAAACTAGTTGTGGACAAACTGGTCTTACAATGGTCAGATTTCACAAATTGTGTGGTTTCTGACATAGACAGCTAAGTCTATCTCTCTGTGCATGACAAAAGGGAAAATGGATCAACCACCTTTCCTGGAGACCATCTCTGCTCGTAATCTCACTTGGTTGGTAGCAAGTTTGCTTTAACCTTATTGTATGAAAAGAATTAGCTCATTTGGGAGCTGGAGAGACAAACTATAAAATTGAAGGATTTCTCCATTTTCTTGTTCTCCAAGAAAGAAAAATATCAGTCAGGGGCTTTACCATGATAACGGTATTCAAGGGTATAACATTCCTTATTGTCTTGCTCAAAATATTTCCTTCCTACCAAGTGCCAATTAACTGTGAGAAGAACAGCCTCCATGCAGCCTTCTGCTCCTTACACATTTTCTACCTGAATCTAAAAGAAGATCTAAGGATAGATCCCAGCCCCTGGAGTTTCTTCAAGTGACATTATTGAAACTTGGCAACAAAATGCTGAAATGACAATAAAATGCTGGTTTTTATTTCAGGTTCCCCCCGCCCCCCGTTCTTATTGAATCAAAACTAAATGCATCCAGGTTGTGTTACAGACAAAAGATCAACTTTAGCTTCACCTCTTCCATCAGCACTGACATGTTACATCTTCCATGCTCCTTGGAGATCAGAAATAAAACAACACTAAGAGGGCAATCCTGAATTTACTCACATTCAGATATTTCATTTTTAATCAAATCATTATTATTGCTTACTTTATCATGACTAAAGCTTCATTCTACTACATATAAAATACGCTGGTGACAGCCCTGCGCTACTGCCTTCCTCTTTATTCAAAAATTTTATTTTGGAGGGGAACGAATTTTTACACTATGAAATAAAATTATCCTAGTACCTCCTAGTTTACAAAGACCAACAGGCATGTTTGGGTGAATTGAGGTACTTAAGAACCAACCAGGGAATTCTGCAGATTCAAAGGAGCAAGTTGTTTTACTCTGAATGACACCATGGAAAGTAAATTCCCTCAGTTCCTTAGTGTCTTTGTAAAGATCCATGATGTTGCATTCCTGAAAAAAATACAAGGCTTGGTTTCTGTTTTAATCCATATGTTAATTGTTAAAAATATTGAAATACAGAGACATTTTTTAAAGCATGGTAAAATAAGCAAACAAAAGACAGCTACATTTCAGTTTTAAAACAGCATTGTAAAAAAAAACAAGTACATTTTTAGTGATACATCTCGCATGGTCAGCCAGATGTTTAGACTGGATTTATCATTTTTGTCCACCTATTGTGTCTTTCCTAAGGACATGGGATAGGATGGGTGTCTGCAACCTGCTGCTCCAGAGCCACATGCGGCTCTTTGGGCCCCCTGCTGTGGCTCCCTGTCGGGTGATTCCCACCACTGGCTGGCCCCATCCCTCTCCCTCCCCTCCCAGGCACTCCTTCCTGGCCTGAGAAAGTAAGGGCAACGGCAGGGGATGGAGAAGAAGAATGTTTCTGGCTTTAAATCTATATGTTGCTTTATCATTTTCTCCAGTCATGTATGTATTTTCATCCAATATTTTTTTTTGCCTTTGGGCAGGTCCACCGCATATGATAATACGAACTTGGCATCTGGTTGCATTTCCAACATTTCGGACATGTTTTTAAAAAATCTTTCCTAGCCTTGCCAATGGCAAGTGTCACCTGTAGAACATTTATACAGGTTTTCCTTGTACTTAGTTGCCATTGCCAATTTATAGTTTCTTTGCCAAGTTTTTGCCATTTATCTACGTAATTCTATAATATACCCAAAAAAATTTGCCCATGTTATCATTGTTTCTTTCACTTGTTCATTCTCCATTTTAAGGCTTAATAAATAGCTATATATTTTCTTTACTAACTTTTCATCCATACCTAATAGTATCTGATCAAGTATTATTGGCTCTTTATAGAAACCAATATCTTTACATCTTTTTCATATCTGGATTGTATTTGCAAATGATTTGGCAATTTCTGTTTAGTTTTAAGTTCCCCTTTCTCATTTAAAATATCTTTATAGAGAGGAGGAGCCAACGTCGCAACGTTACATTGTGTGGATTCGGCTGTCTGAATCCACCGATGACACTTTTGCCCCTGGACGGTCCGGCAGGACCTAAACCATCCTAAACCATCCCGAAGAGACAGTGACTTGGAAGACAAGACCTTACTGGTCGCAGGGACATTGCAAAGTCCCTGATTGACCCAAGGGGAGTGCTTCCAACCGGCGGCAAACAGGCAGCCCCCCCCCCCGGATGACATAGTTGGAGATGGCTCCAAGAACAGAGAATGAAAGTGTTTCTACCTGGTGAGGTTTTTCTTTTTTCTTTTCTTTTAGAAGAGTAAACGTGAGTGAAAGTGGAAAGAAGGGAAGTTGGAAAAGT